GAGTTGTATCTGGTGCCAATCCGAGAGTTGTATCTGGTGCCAATCCGGGAGTTGTATCTGGTGCCAATCCGAGAGTTGTATCTGGTGCCAATCCGGGAGTTGTATCTGGTGCCAATCCGAGAGTTGTATCTGGTGCCAATCCGGGAGTTGTATCTGGTGCCAATCTGAGAGTTGTATCTGGTGCCAATCCGGGAGTTGTATCTGGTGCCAATCGGGGAGTTGTATCTGGTGCCGGTTGTATTGTATATGGTGTATCTGGTGCCAGCTCAGAAACTGTACCCGGGGGCAGCTGAGAAGTGGTGGTCGGCATATCTGCGCTGCCTTCCATCTGCTCCGCGTCTGATTATAAATGGAATATTCCCTGTTACAGGTGACGTGATACAGATCATACATGTGGTGACGTGATACAGATCATACATGTGGTGACGTGATACAGATCATACATGTGGTGACGTGATACAGATCATACATGTGGTGACATGATACAGATCATACATGTGGTGACATGATACAGATCATACATATGGTGCCGTGATACAGATCATACATGTGGTGACGTGATACAGATCATACATGTGGTGACGTGATACAGATCATACATGTGGTGACACCCCTAATCTCTGACCACGCCCGAGCCGCACCCTAAGCATAGCAAGTCCCCCGCCTCTGGTCACATGACCTTCCATTCCACCGAGCTCAGTGTAGACTTTCACTAATATTTCACTTATTGTGTCTGAATCCCTTTGTCCCCCAATCCCCCTCAGATGTTCCTCTCTCCTCCTCAGACGTCCCTCTCTCCCACTCAGATGTCCCTCTCTCCTCCTCAGACGTCCCTCTCTCCCCCTCAGATGTCCCTCTCTCCTCCTCAGACGTCCCTCTCTCCCCCTCAGATGTCCCTCTCTCCTCCTCAGACGTCCCTCTCTCCCCCTCAGATGTCCCTCTCTCCTCCTCAGACGTCCCTCTCTCCCCCTCAGATGTCCCTCTCTCCTCCTCAGACGTCCCTCTCTCCCCCTCAGATGTCCCTCTCTCCTCCTCAGACGTCCCTCTCTCCCCCTCAGATGTCCCTCTCTCCTCCTCAGACGTCCCTCTCTCCCCCTCAGATGTCCCTCTCTCCTCCTCAGACGTCCCTCTCTCCCCCTCAGATGTCCCTCTCTCCTCCTCAGACGTCCCTCTCTCCCCCTCAGATGTCCCTCTCTCCTCCTCAGACGTCCCTCTCTCCCCCTCAGATGTCCCTCTCTCCTCCTCAGACGTCCCTCTCTCCCCCTCAGATGTCCCTCTCTCCTCCTCAGACGTCCCTCTCTCCCCCTCAGATGTCCCTCTCTCCTCCTCAGACGTCCCTCTCTCCCCCTCAGATGTCCCTCTCTCCTCCTCAGACGTCCCTCTCTCCCCCTCAGATGTCCCTCTCTCCTCCTCAGACGTCCCTCTCTCCCCCTCAGATGTCCCTCTCTCCTCCTCAGACGTCCCTCTCTCCCCCTCAGATGTCCCTCTCTCCTCCTCAGACGTCCCTCTCTCCCCCTCAGATGTCCCTCTCTCCTCCTCAGACGTCCCTCTCTCCCCCTCAGATGTCCCTCTCTCCTCCTCAGACGTCCCTCTCTCCCCCTCAGATGTCCCTCTCTCCTCCTCAGACGTCCCTCTCTCCCCCTCAGATGTCCCTCTCTCCTCCTCAGACGTCCCTCTCTCCCCCTCAGATGTCCCTCTCTCCTCCTCAGACGTCCCTCTCTCCCCCTCAGATGTCCCTCTCTCCTCCTCAGACGTCCCTCTCTCCCCCTCAGATGTCCCTCTCTCCTCCTCAGACGTCCCTCTCTCCCCCTCAGATGTCCCTCTCTCCTCCTCAGACGTCCCTCTCTCCCCCTCAGATGTCCCTCTCTCCTCCTCAGACGTCCCTCTCTCCCCCTCAGATGTCCCTCTCTCCTCCTCAGACGTCCCTCTCTCCCCCTCAGATGTCCCTCTCTCCTCCTCAGACGTCCCTCTCTCCCCCTCAGATGTCCCTCTCTCCTCCTCAGACGTCCCTCTCTCCCCCTCAGATGTCCCTCTCTCCTCCTCAGACGTCCCTCTCTCCCCCTCAGATGTCCCTCTCTCCTCCTCAGACGTCCCTCTCTCCCCCTCAGATGTCCCTCTCTCCTCCTCAGACGTCCCTCTCTCCCCCTCAGATGTCCCTCTCTCCTCCTCAGACGTCCCTCTCTCCCCCTCAGATGTCCCTCTCTCCTCCTCAGACGTCCCTCTCTCCCCCTCAGATGTCCCTCTCTCCTCCTCAGACGTCCCTCTCTCCCCCTCAGATGTCCCTCTCTCCTCCTCAGACGTCCCTCTCTCCCACTCAGATGTTCCTCTCTCCCCCTCAGACGTCCCCCTCTCCTCCTCAGATGTTCCTCTCTCCTCCTCAGTTGTGCCCTAGGGTTAGCCCTGAGAAGGACCCTTGTGAGGTGTTTTGCCCTGTGGGGACCCTCATACCCCCTGAGAAGGACCTTTGTGGGGTGTTGGTGAAGGACATGAAATGGAGGAATCGTCTGATGGACTCACCTACACACAGGGACTCCTTACAGCTGAATGTCTCCGGGCAAGCCGCACATGGATCTCCGGGCTTGTATGGCTTCTGCCCCTGGAAGTTCCCGCTGTGAGGAGAAGGGTTCAATGATTATTATTTCCCGAATTCACCAACTAGAAACATTCACATCAGGTTCTATCTTCTCTACGTCAAGTCAGAGGAAATCTTCATCCTCATTATGGTCCTCCAACCAGCGGCCTCCTTCCTCCACTCTGATATCAGCCTCCTTCTCCCGCACGTCCTCCCCTCTGATATCAGCCTCCTTCCCCCGGACGTCCTCCCCTCTGATATCAGCCTCCTTCTCCCGGACGTCATCACCTCTGATATCAGCCTCCTTCCCCCGGACGTCCTCCCCTCTGATATCAGCCTCCTTCCCCCGGACGTCCTCCCCTCTGATATCAGCCTTCGTCTCCCGGACGTCCTCCCCTCTGATATCAGCCTCCTTCTCCCGGAAGTCCTCCCTTCTGATATCAGCCTCCTTCTCCCGGAAGTCCTCCCCTCTGATATCAGCCTCCTTCCCCCGGACGTCCTCCCCTCTGATATCAGCCTCCTTCTCCCGGGCGTCCTCCCCTCTGATATCAGCCTCCTTCTCCCGGACGTCCTCCCCTCTGATATCAGCCTCCTTCTCCCGGACGTCCTCCCCTCTGATATCAGCCTCCTTCTCCCGGACGTCCTCCCCTCTGATATCAGCCTCCTTCTCCCGGACGTCCTCCCCTCTGATATCAGCCTCCTTCCCCCGGACGTCCTCCCCTCTGATATCAGCCTCCTTCTCCCGGACGTCCTCCCCTCTGATATCAGCCTTCGTCTCCCGGACGTCCTCCCCTCTGATATCAGCCTCCTTCTCCCGGAAGTCCTCCCTTCTGATATCAGCCTCCTTCTCCCGGAAGTCCTCCCCTCTGATATCAGCCTCCTTCCCCCGGACGTCCTCCCCTCTGATATCAGCCTCCTTCTCCCGGGCGTCCTCCCCTCTGATATCAGCCTCCTTCCCCCGGACGTCGTCCCCTCTGATATCAGCCTCCTTCTCCCGGACGTCCTCCCCTCTGATATCAGCCTCCTTCTCCCGGACGTCCTCCCCTCTGATATCAGCCTCCTTCTCCCGGACGTCGTCCCCTCTGATATCAGCCTCCTTCCCCCGGACGTCCTCCCCTCTGATATCAGCCTCCTTCTCCCGGACGTCCTCCCCTCTGATATCAGCCTCCTTCTCCCGGACGTCCTTCCTTCTGATATCAGCCTCCTCCTCCCGGACGTCCTCCCTCTGATATCAGCCTCCTTCTCCCGGACGTCCTCCCCTCTGATATCAGCCTCCTTCCCCCGGACGTCGCCCCCTCTGATATCAGCCTCGTTCTCCTGGACGTCCTGCCCTCTGATATCAGCCTCCTTCTCCCGGACGTCCTCCCCTC